TATTTATAATGTAATAAAGGTACATTTTTTTTTCATCCAATTGCAAGTACCCACGTAATATGTAATAATTTTTATTTTATATTTTGAGTGTTATATTGTTTTCTGATATAATTCATAAATAACAATATAATATTATTGTTAATAAATAATTGATTTTTTTGGGGGTATTTTAAACTTAAATGCAAAAATTACTTGGACACGTGCCATCCATTGTATAGTAGACACATTATGGTTTTGTCCATCAGGTTTATAATTAAATCGGTTCAGAAATTATTTTTTCCTATTCTACTAGAAGTTATAATTATTTTTACACTTTCCCGCAATGATGAGTAGTTATTAAGTTGTAATATTCCAGTTTTTAGAGATTTCTGCGGAGAATTATTGGACAAAACCAAAATGCACGTACTATAGATGCTCTTTTTTGATTAAAAATGAACCGCAAAAAAAGGTCATAAATTATGGTCTCACTTCGCATACCGAGGCAATTTTCAGGTAGTTTTTATAGGTGGCGACTGGTCCCTTTATGCCAATACATATTATTCCTTTTGTATTACACAAAAGAATAAATTATGCAGTCAATAAACGAAGTCCATAAAATTTTCACACCTTTTGTTCGCACGTAGGCACCTATATTTGAAAAGAAGTTCATTACATAGATATTAACATCCCTTTTGCCAGTTTAGTGGAAAAAAAAATATGTAATAAATGTTTTAGCGTACTTAAATTTATTTATACGTTTGTTTGTTGACAATTGGATGAAGACGTTAATCAAAGTGATTCAAGAAAAAAATTGACAAATAAAAACGATTGCTTACGTAAACAAGTGAAACTTATTCAATTGGAGTTTTTTATGTATTGTTGTGTGATACGCTTGACCGAAAAAATGCAGCAATAATTATTGAAAGTTGCCCATGTTTTTTTTAAATTAATTTATAGATAAGCGGCTTTATCATTAGCAATAATATTCTAAAATCGCAAAACAAAATTATTTATCTAAAAAAAAAAATAATTTAAGTGCATCCCATGTTTTGTTAATTTTTGTAAAGACGTTCCGAATGCACCTTTATCGGTTTTGTCGTTTTATATAGGAATCAAAAACGCTTATCTTATCGTCATTACATTTGTAACTTTTTAAATTTAGCTATGTAGGTAGGTATATGATAATAATTGGTGTACATTGTAAATTTATCAATTCAAAGGTGAATATTATAAACTAATTCGGTAGGTTTACTAATATTTAGTAGATAGGTATACAGAAATACACATGCTTTTCGTGTTAGTAATATTATTATTATTATTATTAATATGCTTATCATGATATTGATATTGCATATACGTATCTACATATATATTACAAGCAAAAAAGGATCAAATTTTGAAAAAAAGGACAACCTACGTACTCCTACAAATGGTTTAGTTCATTTAAATAATTTTGAAAGAGAAATTATATAATTCGGAGGCAGCCAGCCATCAACTACATATTATGATGTACATATTTCTAACCGCACAGGCAATGTTCATTTGTTTTTTCGCTTTTGCTATGTAGTAGCATCATTAATAAATCAGTTTAAGTACTTAATTACAAGTTTTAATTGCTGAATTACACAATGTACTCGCTTATTCAGTCCCATGGTCAATAACTTCAAGTTTTAATACGTTACGTATCCACTCAAATACATGCATTCATTAAAATGGGTGTGTAGTATGCATATTACAAGCATTCGATTAATATGCATCTATGTATGTTGATATGTAAGTGAATGATAATGGTTGTCGTTTGTTTTGTGACCAACCCTCTTGGGAGCAGATGAATTAGAGCGCTTTTTGTTTTGTTTTTTCGTCCACTCTGGACGACTTGATAATGACAGACGCCTCTCTGTGTAGTCGCCAGAATGGACTATTAAGACGTGGTTAGACGTACTAATAACGGATAGGAAAACAGTGCCTTAACTGTTGCTTTATCTCCCGGAAAATGGGCCCAGTTTATTGCCACTTTAATTAAACCTAATCGGTCATGTAGGATCTCAATAAAAAACGTATTCCAAAAGTATAAAACTGACTGGCGGGGAGGGGCTGTGGTGTCTATAAAAATGCCAACTGATGCCAAAATCGAAATATGTTCGCAGCTGATGTCCCGTAAAGCACCCTTTTGTTCTTGCTGGCCAATCAAATGGATGTTTTAGTAGGATCTGTTGATCTATATATTTACAGAAATATTAATTTCGAAAATCAAGTTTATTTTACAATTGGTAGGGGCATGCATAAAATATATTTACAAGTAAGGGGTAGGGAGGGGTATTGCTTAGCTTGACGAGGAGGAAGAGGGGATCCAAGTAAATGTGGCGTTCGTAGTTTATCAATTTTATTTTATTTTTTTTTCTTAAANAGTGGCGGGGGAGACCTCCTCTTTCGATCCCACCCACCCCATCATCTAGACATTTACCAAAACATCTAATTTTTGTGCCAATAACTTTTTCAATAAAATGTCATCTTAGTTATTATTTATTAATTTAATTAGGCATTTTTTGACGTTTCTTATTTACTTAACTGTCCATAATGAGTGACCTAATTAAGTTAATTTTTCTGACTACCAGAATCGCTGTGGCATGGGGCGTTATCTCATCTCCAAAGAATTATTTACTTAAATATGATTAATAAAGTTTATCTTTTCCATTTCGTCGAATTCGAACTCCTACGTCTCTCGTTGACCTCCTGGGGCTCGAACGCATGACCACCACCACCGCAATGGCAATACCACAATAATTTAATAACTAATGCCGTCATATTACCAAATGCCCATTAAGCAAAGTTCACGCGTGTTCACCTCTTCGTCATCGACCAATTAAAAAACTAGAGTGGCAATTAGACGTAGCCTCAATTAATTAACTTAATTTAACAATCCCACTCTACTACCCCATACCCTCCGCCCATGGCCGTACTTCGCCCATACACTTTGCCACTTTAAATCCAATAACAAAAACAATCGTCGCACATAAGTGCACATAACCATGGCAACAGAGAGTGTCTTATCAACAAATCTTATATTTGTTGCTTAATTTGGAACTTACAGCGACAGTCAGTTGTAGTCGCAGTGTATTGAATGTAGGCACTGTCCGCTACAAGCGATATATTTATGTAAGTAGCATCGGCGCAAAAACCGTATCACATTCGTACGTATGTATGTACGTATAAAACTTTTACTCGCGTATTTAGAGATATAATAATTTCGTGCGTTTCGAAGTGTATCAAAGCAGGCTCGGTGCATGCTTGCGCTTGTCTTGTGGTGCGACATTGATTATTTTTAAATATTAGCTTATCATGATATTGATATTGCATATACGTATCTACATATATATTACAAGCAAAAAAGGATCAAATTTTGAAAAAAAGGACAACCTACGTACTCCTACAAATGGTTTAGTTCATTTAAATAATTTTGAAAGAGAAATTATATAATTCGGAGGCAGCCAGCCATCAACTACATATTATGATGTACATATTTCTAACCGCACAGGCAATGTTCATTTGTTTTTTCGCTTTTGCTATGTAGTAGCATCATTAATAAATCAGTTTAAGTACTTAATTACAAGTTTTAATTGCTGAATTACACAATGTACTCGCTTATTCAGTCCCATGGTCAATAACTTCAAGTTTTAATACGTTACGTATCCACTCAAATACATGCATTCATTAAAATGGGTGTGTAGTATGCATATTACAAGCATTCGATTAATATGCATCTATGTATGTTGATATGTAAGTGAATGATAATGGTTGTCGTTTGTTTTGTGACCAACCCTCTTGGGAGCAGATGAATTAGAGCGCTTTTTGTTTTGTTTTTTCGTCCACTCTGGACGACTTGATAATGACAGACGCCTCTCTGTGTAGTCGCCAGAATGGACTATTAAGACGTGGTTAGACGTACTAATAACGGATAGGAAAACAGTGCCTTAACTGTTGCTTTATCTCCCGGAAAATGGGCCCAGTTTATTGCCACTTTAATTAAACCTAATCGGTCATGTAGGATCTCAATAAAAAACGTATTCCAAAAGTATAAAACTGACTGGCGGGGAGGGGCTGTGGTGTCTATAAAAATGCCAACTGATGCCAAAATCGAAATATGTTCGCAGCTGATGTCCCGTAAAGCACCCTTTTGTTCTTGCTGGCCAATCAAATGGATGTTTTAGTAGGATCTGTTGATCTATATATTTACAGAAATATTAATTTCGAAAATCAAGTTTATTTTACAATTGGTAGGGGCATGCATAAAATATATTTACAAGTAAGGGGTAGGGAGGGGTATTGCTTAGCTTGACGAGGAGGAAGAGGGGATCCAAGTAAATGTGGCGTTCGTAGTTTATCAATTTTATTTTATTTTTTTTTCTTAAATTTTTCATTACGATATCGTGATGAAGAAACAAGGAGGGGTCCAAAAAGATGAAATTTAAAATCCTTGATAAAAAACATCGGTAAAGGTCTAGATGATGCCCCCCAAGGGGTGGGGGTGGGGGTGGGGGGATCGAAAAAGGAGGCCTCCCCCACCACTGTACCATAAAAAGTTCGTGGCGGTCTCACCCCCATAAAAAGTTATGGGGGTTCAAAGTTAATAAATATGCCAATTTTTATACATTTCTAGGCATGTAAATATTTATATAATCATTCTTAAACAATATTCAAAGGTAAAACTAATGAAAAATACATAAAAATATTGAGAAAGTTATATAAAACATTATTTAAATA